TAGTGCTGTTATAAACATTGGGGTGCATGTGTCCCTTTGAAACAAAATGCCCGTATCCCTTGGTTATGTTTATTTCATGTTTGAGAACAGTGGACCTCAAAGTATGATTTTAAACCACTAGTAATTTCTTTCCCCCTAAGCAAAAGTTCTTTTCAAGAATCAATCTGCTTGAGCTTATATATGGTAGAGCTTTGAAAGCTGTAGCCCTGGGTCCAAAAAGTTACTTCAAAGAATGGTCTGTAATTTACTATGGTGACAAGAGGTGCTCTTGGGCACCGTCTCCGGAAGGAAGTAAGGGGAGGAGAAAGAGCAGTTGTCCACAGAGGATCTGAGGTTCCAGTGAGATCAGACTAGTAATCTCATTTGCGCCCCACCCATCACCAGAGATCTCTAAACTTTTCACATCCCCATGATACTAAAAGGAGTAATGTTAAAGTGTCCTTTATCTTGCCTCTGAAGACTTCTAAGGTCTTGTTAATAAAAATATTTTAATACATTTTTAAAAATGTTTATTTATTTTGGGAGAGAGAGGGAAGGGCAGAGAGAGAGAGAATCCCAAGCAGGCCCCCCCCTGTAGACACAGAGCCCCATTCAGGGTGCGATCTCACCAACTATGAGATCATGACCAGAGTTGAAATCAAGAGTTGGATGCTTAACGGACTGAGCCACCCAGATGCCCCTAAAGACTTCTAAGGCCTTTTGACTTATGTTAATATGAAGGTCTGCATGGCAAATTATTTTTAATTACTTAAGCCGAATAGCCAAACTGACGCTAAGGAAGGTGGACCCAGCACAGTCTTGGAAGATTTTTTTAGAAGTTTGGAAATTTAGTGCAAAATATTATGGGAAATTAAGCTACATCAATAACAGGGAGAAATGTGAAGAAAGAAAATAATGAAATCTTTCTGAGATATGAAAGTAGAAATTTTTTTATCCCTAGCTAGTTTTGAATGTCTCCAATCTTGCAAAACTGTGTACTTTGTTCTTTGTTTTCAGTGGATTTAGGTAATATTTTCTGACCAAGGATAGGTGATTTTCCTTCGTTTGTTTTTTTTCCCTCTCCTCCTTACACTGTCTAGTCACCAAATGACACACATTTCTGATCTTAGTTTTGTCTTGAATTTTGAATTAAAACTCATCTGGAAACTCAAACTCAATGTTAAATTGTGTGTATGTATGTATCTGTATGAATCTGATCTGGCTTCAGTGCAAAATTAAAGTTCTTAGAATGGTTGTTTAGGATAAACTGATGCCCAACATCCAAAGCCTTGATCTGGCCTTGGGAGGGAAAGTTTGGTTAATACCACTAATCAAATATAGATTAATGGGAAAATAAAACGTATTTTGATTTCGTGAGTGTAATTTTAGAAATCTGTCCAAATGAATTGTAAAAACGTGTTTTCTTGTCTTTCTCTCAGTGTCCTGAATTTCTAGACCTTGAAAAATCTAAACTTAAATCCAAAGACTCCCTCTCAAGTGGGGTGCATCTGAACACAGCTTCGGAAGACAACTTGACTTCACTTTTAAAACAAGACAGTGATCTCTCTTTAGAGCTTCACCCGCGGCAAAGAAAAACTTACCTTCATCCAATTAGGCATCCTTCTTTGACAGATTCATCCCTAAGCACTGTAGGAATCTTGGGTCTTCATAGGCATGTTTCTGATCCTGGTCTTCCGGGGAAATAATCATTTTGTACTATTTACTCCACATACAATGTAAGTGCTTTTAATGGCTGTTTTCCTTTTTTTGTATTTAAATCCTCTCTACTTGACTCAGGGGCTCACAAGGTACCATTATATGCAAAAGTACTGTATATTTTCCTAAATTGAAGCTTGTAAGGTAAAATTGAGCAATTAGGATGTAAATATACGTATGAACTCTTTTGTTCCAAATGTTAAAACTGCCAGCATCTCCAGGCATCTTATTTTATTTTTATTTATTTATTTTTTTTAAATCATGTGCATGTTAGGAAACTCCAATTTCTCTTGCATGGAGACTCCTACTTACTACTTTTACTAAACCTGTACTTTGTTATGAAAATGCCTTCCAAGCAAGTAAGAAACCAACGGGTGACATTGTTCATGGAAGCAAATCATGGAAGATCCTAAACTCACGGAAGTTCCAGGGGTAGAAAGGGAACTTAAGTCACTCAGAACAGATACCCTTCTGTTCTGAGAGGTTTATAGTTAATTACATCCATTTCACCACACTGAAAAAAAAAAAATAGTTTTAGAGTTCTGAATCTTCGACCACGTTGGGTGTCCATCTCCAAATACATGAATATAGGCCAGCTTTAATGGGGACAAAAAGGACTTTCGACTTAAAATTCTGTCTCTAACTGCATTTACAAACTACCTAACATATTTCTCACTGGCACATTTCCTTGCATATTTAGAAACCAGTAGAAACAAGTTTCTCTCTCTTTTTATTATTATTATTATTATTATTTTTTTTTTTTTTTTTTTTTTTTTTTTTTTTTTTGAGGAGGGGAAGGGAGTCTTCTCAAGAACTGCCAAGGTGTGACTGACACAAAGTGATATCTACAGCTTTCCTCTGATTCATATATTAGGGCAATCCTGAATTGGAGCAAAAGAGTGGACACACATGGTTCTTTTTTAAAAATGTCAACCCAGTGGATTTGCATGGCAAAACTAGCTCCCATTTAAGCATATGTTGTTCCACGGTTTTCGATTTAATCCCAGCTGTGGAAAAACAATATGTTTGTACCTGCCTGTAAAGGAAATGAAGACACCAGCAGTAAAATTTGTTTTGTTCAGTTACTCAAACACATTTGTTAATCAAAGATTAAATGAAAATGCATTCTGTATGAATTGGGCTGAATATATTTGGACCCCAGAATATCAGAACATACAATGGAATATATTTTAATATCGTTAACTGTTAGACTTTTTCGGAGGGGGTATGATATGCTTCTCATAAAATCAGGATACAGAAAAAACTGCAAGTTAATTTAAGATTCTGAGTTGTCAATTTTTAGTTAAGTTTTATTTTTCAATTCCTTTGAGTACAATTTTAATTTTATTATGGGCTGATCTATTATATCCTTTCCTTCCAAACGAAATCTTGAAATTTTTTGCAAGTTTCTTCCTTCTTTAATAATTCTTACACCCACATATATTTTTAAAGAAATATTATATCTGTGTACATTATTAAATGGATTAGTTTCCATCCCTCCAGGATAGAAATGTAATCTATTGACTTACTTTTACCTTTGACACTATTGGTTTCAAATATAAGCAATTCCTTTAAATTTACAAAGCTATTGCACTACTTAAAATGATGAAAGTGACCTTAAGTTGCCCCCTATATATTTTTAAATGGTCACATGTGTGGGAGGCAATCTGTAGGCGTGAACATATTCTTATCCCTGCTAAATGTTCGAAAAAAAAGAAAACATAAGCGATAAAGTATGTATGGCAAAATGACTAGTCAATTCAGTAAAAAACAGAACAAGTTTAACTAGCTTCCCAAACCATTTGGTGTTAGGCAGATACAAATTTAAGGACTAATGCTTTCTTTCCTTCATTCAACAAACATTTATGGGTGCCTAGCTGGGGGAGGCAAATGGCTAACGTTGATTCAGAGGACTATTTGAGGATTTTATATCTATATTTAGGCATATTTTTGCAGCTGCAACAAATTTCATAAGGATTGCTGGCCTAAGCTCCAGGGAAAGTCAGAATGAATTCACCAGAGACTGTCATTTGTAGAGAGTGAGGATTTGGCAGGTGAGGAATTTAGATCTGATTGTTTGATTAGTGGATGCTTCAGCTCCAACACTTGCTGTGACATGCATAAAATCCCACATAAAGCCTCTATACTTCTTTATAAAAACTGAGCATGAAAAAAAATAAATAAATAAGAATTGAGCTTGAAGGAATGGAAAGATGGGGAATAGTATACAAGTTTCCAGCTTGCTAAAAGTTTTGCATAAGACATTCTTCCTCTTAATGCCTTGACATAAAATAATTCCTTGATATTAAAATCTAAGTCTCAGAGAACTGGACAGGATTAAGAAGGTCCCCTCTTCTAGGATATTAGCTTAACAAGAGCCTGGAAAAGCTAACATGTGATTAGGCAGAAATGTCAGAGGCTCAATGGTTAAAATGACTTAGAGATGACCAAAGCAATTATCTTAATTTACAAAATGCATCTCCTTATCCCAGTCAAAGGTCCAATGCCTGAAATCACTCGTCATGCTTGCTGTGGCCAACAGTCTGACCCCTCCATTGGGGATCCTCCTGAGAGGCAGGGTTGACTGCCCATCAGTCCTGGCAGTAGGAGCACTGCTGTCCTCCTAGGTAATTCGAAGCACTTAATACAAATGATGCTTTCCACCTAAAAATAGTGAGATCTGGTTCCCAGGCCTAAATAAAATTCCATCTAAAATCTGAAGTTTATCTGAGTGAGTTGTTTTCCTGCTGTTATTGCTGGGCAGAGAGCGGGACATATCATTTTACCTTAGAGAGGAGTCCCATGTTCTAATTAGTTGATAAGGAAACTAGGAATGAAAAATGTTGAAGCAATGTTCTTGCAGGATTTTTAAATTAAAATTCACCCATTCAACAGACATGAGAAGGCAGGGGCAAATTTGGGACAGCCTCCTTTTCTTATGTCCATTGGTAATGGATTGGTCATCAGAGATGAATTGTCCCACTCTTCCAGTCAGAAGATATGGGTATCGTATCAGGGCCTAGTGGCATTTGGTGTGAGGTTGGATATATGTATAGGACAGCTGCTTACAGGTCCTTTTGGAGGTTTATCTTTAACAGTGGTTCCCAAAAGCCTAAAAGAACCATTTCTTTAACCAGATGTCATTTAAAATCCCTTCATATATTATCAAAGGAAAAAGTTTATCACCTCGTCGGCATACCTAAAACAATCATTCTAACAGGAAAATCTTTCCCTTGAAGGCTTTTCATGATTAAAAAAAGGAATGTGGGAGATCTAGTTATTAAAAATGAGTCGCAACACTGATTTGGAACATAGTAGTCTTTAAATTGCTTATCCATGATTGAAACCAAAAGTAGATCAATGTCTTTGAGGAGATTCGTACTGCAAATCAAAATTTTTATAAATTACAAAAAATTTCAGATCTTGATTTTTGCACGATAGAAAAATGTGTCTATCATGTAAGTTCAGAGGCACTTGGAAGACAGATGATGATGTCTTCCCATGTAGGCCTAGAATTAGCAGTACTAAAACAGCCAGGGATCATGCTAGAAATGCATATTCATGGGCCCCACCCAGACCTACTGACTCAGAAACTCTAGAGGTGGAACCCAGCAATCATCTTTTAACAAGCCCTCTTCTATATGATCTCCATAAACACAAGAACTTTGAGAATCACTAACGTAGAGCATGGGCTCTGCAGTCAGACCCACGTGGGTCTCAGGAGTTCTCTCATGAATAGCTGTGTGACCCTGACCAATTTAATTAACCTCCCTGAGTCTTTTTCCTGAATTTGTAAAAATGAGATAATGGTACCTGCCTCAAAGAAGCTTGAGGAAGAAGTGAGATAACATATAGTAAAGTGCCTGGCACACATAGGTGCCCCTAAAATGCTAGATTCTTTGATTCTCATCCAGGACCACGATATTAAAAACAATCAGGAAGACAAAAAGTTTTTTCCACAATAAAGCTTTTCTGTAATGTGCTATGCCTCCAGCTAAATAGCCATTAACAAGACTGAAGGTTTTGATTCAGAAGACACAAGAGTAGTTATTGTTTTCTCTAATTGCATTTTGCACTATTAGGTTTTTAGCTTTAAAGTAATACTATTTATAATGATAGTGAGAGTATGAATGTCATTGTTACAAACCTGTGTACTCTGAATCAGTGATCTGTTGAATTCAGTGCTACTAAAAAGTGGTCTGTAAAGACCGGCTCACTGGGGAAGCCCCTCTTTAGATCCATAACGTAGTTCCCAGATGGGTATTTGGAAATGCATTTTCAAAATAGTGTTGAAAGAGAATACACTTTCTATTTTCTCAGAAAATAGAATTTATAGTTGTAGTGGTCCTTTGCAGGCTTCTAGGCCCACACCATCATGCACAGATACGCTAAACAGACTGCCTGCCTAAGTCCAGTGTGCAATGGTAGAAATGGCAAGAGACTTGGTGTCATAAACCTGAATTAAAATCCTACCTTCTCCACTTTTAGGACAAACCCTCGGTGAACCCCAGTAGCCAAAATTATGAAGGCAATGTCTTAAATATCTTGAGGAGTGTTGGGGAGCCTCTGAAGTACGTATACGGAAGTGCTTTGTAAACCATAAAGCACCGTGTTAACTATAAGCTCTTTATGTGACTTGTGCATCATCACAAATACAGTGTCATTATGGTGGCAGTGCCGTAGCATGACCTAGGTCTTCTGAAAACCTTCCATGGCTCCTCCCCCTACCCAACACTGACAGCATTCCCACTCTGACAAAAATCTATACAGTGATTCTCACACGGCTCTCAAAGATCTATTTACTCAGAGTAGGAGAACACCGGTTTTAGGAAAGCTATCCTCTGCTATAGCATCCCCGTATTTGTCAAAAATTGTCGGTGTCCAACATCCATAGAATTCTATATTTGAGTTGTGATGGTCTTCTAGGTATGCAGTACTTTACCCCTTACCCCCTCACTTCTTAAGTGTTCTCATTCAAAGCTTCTGTCTC